TCAATTCACTCACTTGTTCATTCACCCCAACACTGTTCCCTCCCATTTCACTTCTCTTAGCAAAATAAGCCTAGCAATTTTCTCTACTCCTCTTGGCCACCGCGCACTTTGAGTGAATACTTGCTTGTCATTCATATTTGCTTTCTGGATAGCCCCTGTTCCCTTTTTGGATTATTGGGGTATAATACCTAACATATCATCAATAAGATACTACTAAATACCTGACAGGCTGATAAGTTGATGGTTGTTACGAATCCATCATGGGTAGAAGGAGGTGAAATTTTTTGTAATAACACTCCAGTTAGAGAAAAAGTCTTTTTTCAAATAGATTACAAGAAGTTGACAACTTGTAAAGTATTATAAAATATCAATATATTCTTTTGCATTGAGATTTTTTTTAAAAAATAATTATTTGATCCCTATAATTTTGATCCAATTATAATTTAGTTCCTAAATTTTGACTTTTTGTAACTTGGTTTCCATGGTTTTGATTTTTTTTTCTGTTCCCTATATCTTAAAAAAACCAAAATTATAAATATTAAAACTATTTTACAATTTTAATCTTTATGAAGATTGAAAGGATTTCATAATTTAAAATACTAGTCCTAAATTTTAACATGTTTTCAATCTTTAAAGTTTTATTTTTTAAAATAAAAGGAATAACATTTTAGATGATTGAATTACATTATGTTCTCATTTTGTTTCTCTTCTTTTATTCTTTTTATAACCGAGCCAAAACTACAAGTACTAACTTATAATGAATCAAAATTTAGGAATTGCGCACAATCATGTCAAAAATTTTAAAACTAATTGATTAATTTTCTCTTTTTATTTAAGACTTGTTTAATGCTGTTTTATATTTTTCAATTGTGTATATTGTGGAATAATTTTTTAAAAAAAGTTATGAAAATAAAAAATTTGCTTGAATTATTATTTTTAAAAAATACATCTAAAATGGTGAAATAAAAGGTGAAAAAATTATTTACTTTAATAACATGATTGACATTAATGATAACTTGATGTTTCCTCCCTTTAATCTAATTTTACCGAAAAAAAGAAGACAAAATATATAAAAAATACTCAATTTTTTATTTTATAGAAAAAATAAAATTTTAATTTTTCATAGCAGATAACAAAGACATATTGGAAATAGGTATTTGTATTTTTCTGTTGTCAGCACAAAAAAATATTTTGAAAATAGAAAATCTGCCCTGGTATTTTTTTGTCGTTGCCTAAACTTTTAATTTTTTTTAGATTTAAATTTTATAGATATACAATTTTTTTGGGTAAAATACAGATATACAATTCAATCCAGACAGTTCCTCGAAAGAAGGAGCAGGGGAACGCCGTCGTATGAATGAAGCGAAGGATATCATTAATGGATATTTTCCAGTTGTGGCAAAAAAAAGAATAAAGAAAAAAGAAAAAGGCTTGCAGCTGCAATGAAACTATTTACTTCCCGTCATATTTTTAACCCATTCACGTAAATAAATAAATATTAATTATTTAATTTAAAATACAGTAGCATTTTAATTTTATTTTAATTTTTATAAATAAAAAATAATTTTTTAAAATAAATTAATAGTATTTATTTTTTAATATAATAAGAATATGATAGTTCATTTATTACAAAATATATTAACAATCTCTTATATTTAAAAACTTAAAAAGTATCTTATATATAAAAACGAATAGAGCATTTAGTATCAGCTGCATCTCTAAATTTAACAAAATGGATTCGTTTTAGCGACAGTTTTTTTATTTTATGTATATATCTGCGTGATTTCTTTTCTTTTCTTTTTTTCAGCGAGCTATGCGCGCACGTTTTTATTAACTTGGCTCGGCATGTGCGTTTATTTTTTTCTAGGGAGAATCGCGCACAAGGTTATTGGAATTTGGAAGATAAAAATCGCACCTTATGAAGAAAAAATCTAAAATCTAATACATTTTTAATTATTTTTGCAGGTTTAAATATCCCAAATACAAGTATCTTTCTTTATGAAAATACACATTCTTTCCAAATGCATAAGTTTATCAAGTGTATGTATAATATAATATTATAAAAAATATGACAAGATTCATACATAATAACATAATATCTGTTTATTATGCAAAGTCTAGATAGTTAAGATAAATGATAATATACAAGTTTCCTAAATGTATATATAACATAATATCTATAAAGAATAGGACGATATCCGCACACGAACAATACAATATTTATTTATTATGCGTAGTTTATATGGTTAAGTTTATTATTAATAGATAAGTTTAACTTAATCATATAGACTATATATAATACAATATTAGTTTATTATACATAATTAGTGTGATTAGGGGTAAATGCATCTTTTTACAAGAAAACATATTTGCCTTTGAGGTATTTGAGCTTGTAAAAATGATTAAGAATGTATTGGATTTTAGGTGTGATTATTTTTTGGGTGCCTTGAATGCTATTATTCCTCTTTTTTAATGATGGCCTGACGTGAAATAGCCCATGAAGAGAAGAAAAAGAAGAAGAAAAACAGAGGTTGTAAACTCACTTTTAAGTTTCAAGTTTTGGATTGGGTAAGCGGTTTAGGTTTATTCACTCAATACGTATCTCAATTATAATCATCATGATATTTTATTGACACTTAAAATTTATTAAAATATATTTTTTCAGAAATTTTAAAATAATTTTCATGGTCAAAGCAATTCTCATACATGTATGCCGTGCTCTCAAAAAAATGGAGATTTAATAATTTTGTAGTATTATAGAACAAAATCTTCAACGGTGATTCAGTTAAGCCCAACGATTGTTAATATTTAATCAAACAATAATTATCGTGACATGTGAGAATGAGCAAGATTAAACAACTCACGGGGCTTCAAATCTGAGAGTTAAACGCCATGATTGTATCGTGCGCATGTAGTAACGCGTACGTTTAGATATCCCCACCGGAGACATGAGTCTAATGAAGTGAGCAGTCCTTAGACATGTGCATCGTTTATTGAACTAGCAACTTTTGCGGATTTGTGGACGATCCATTTTCAATATATGAACGAATAGGAATGGCGCTGCAGCATCAGATGATTGAATTACATTGTGTTCTCATTTTGTTTCTCTTCTTTTCTTCTTTTTATTGTGTTGTTGGTCATTTGCATTGCAGCCGTCGCTGTCCGTCCCTCTTGCTCTCCTGCTTTTCCTTTTTCCATTGCCCAGTACCCTCACTTTCGATTCGACAATTTTATTCTCACCAGGCCAACTTGCCCGAGTCCCTTTATCTCATCCGCAAATATCACCGCTTCAAGAAATAGGTATAAATCACACAATTTACGTTTTCCTCTCTTTATTCCAGAGCATATTTAATTACATCACCAGATAAAAGTGATCAGGTCATTAATCTTATTTTTAATTTTATTTATATTTAGATAAAAAATTTTATAGTTGCACCATATTCTCTCTCCCAATTAATGAAATTCAATGAAAATAATAATAAAAAATATATTAATAACTATCAAATATTTCGTATTAAAAATCAATTTTTTTTAAAGATTACCCTGTGATAGGAATTGGAAGGTGTGCGCATTTTGTGATATTTATTTATGATGCCAACAAAATACTTTTTTATTTTATGAGGCTCACCACTCCATCAATATCCTTGAATTCAGTACCCAACTTTTTTTAAGCCATTGTCCCATTGACATCACCTTGATCGAAATCATAAGATGTTTTATAAAATATTTTTTTATGTCATCCCCTATTTAACGATTTTTCCGAAACATCTAATAAATATAATTTATCACTGTAAAAGATTATTTAGGGGGCAGTTTTTCAAAAGAATAAAAGTAACACTTAGACAAAGCCAACTTTGTTGGCCGGTGATTAGCAACTACTAACTGAGTATTCCAATATATTAAAAATTGAATCAATTATTAAATTAATGAAAATAATAATTTAAGAGATAATAGTCCAATCAGGAATCAATTCAAAGTTATAAGGATTATAATTAAAATAACGTATTTAAATTTAAATATAGAAAAATATTTATAAAATCCTATACATGCCTTATATATATATTAACTATAAGCTTATAAGATAATAAAATACAATAACATTGAAATATTAATTAAGAGATTTATAGTTGATTTAGGTTTCGTTATTTAGAAGAAGAAAAAAAAAAATAACTCAGGTCAACCCATCAATACGCTTGGATTAACAAGTTCACAACTTTCCCAATTTAATTCATTCATCGCACCTGCCCATTGACCAGTTTACTGGATTATTGGAATATTGGTCCAACCGGCTAGTCTAGTCCCTTTTTTTTTTTTTTTAATTTAACCATCACGGAGCATTCACTGCTCCCTTTCCTTTCTGCACATTGCTCAGTCACATAAAAATCAAATTAATTTCAATAACAATAATACTCACCCTGCTATAACCACTAAGAAACTATCACAAAATCCTAAACTAGTCACATTTAAAAAAATAGATGATGTTTTTTGTAAGTCACTTTGATTTGCATAAAAAATAAATATTAATTATTTTATCCCAATCTCATCTCTCTCTCTAGCTAATTTCCTGAACCAGAACTAGAGATTTTAAGGAAAAAAAATCAATTTTTTAGACAAGTAATTGATCGAGGTTCTAATAATAAAAACTATAAAAAAAGGGATTTTATAATAACAAGAAAAGGGCGTAGTGAACAAGACAAACTAACGACAAGTCATAAAGATACTATATATGCCTAAAACCAGCTCGCTAGCAAATGAAAATGAAAATTACATATAACAAATTTAGCAGTACTGTAACTGTAATTGTACGTGCGTACCAAGCTGAAGAATCAACGACAGCGCATTCTCTGTCGTAGTCATGGAAGAATTAACAGACTAAATTCAGCGAGCATGCACATTGCACAGTCAGAAACACATCAAAGGAAGATTATATATGGAAGATACTTTAATTGCCACAGAAATGATGTACATATGCAGGGAGCCATGTATTTCCCGTAAGTGCCAGGAGCCATGCATGTGAAAAAGACTATGCTACCCTTGAAGTGAATATAGGCAGCTAGCTAGTGGGCAACACATGGAACCACCACTATATCCCAACTCTCGAAGCTTTTCACACTTGCCTGCTTTTGATACCCAACCTCTAGAAAGTGGCTGTCTTTCCCATCTCTCAGCACTCCATAGCTTTTTCTCGTTCCTCTTAATCCATGGACACAGCTCAGTGGGCACAGGTACACCACAGGCCTCCTTTAATTTTCTCTGTTTTTCTTTGCACGTCTCATCTCAAATTCCTTCTGTGGAGGGAATGATATGCATGCTTTGGGTTTTGTAATTTCTTTCGATTATTAATTCCCAAGTTCTGAGTGAAGTTTACCTTTTTCTCATCCACTTTTCAATTCTCAAGAGACCACATATAGACATGTTCAAATTTTGTTGCTAAGTTCGTGCTTTTTAAAGATGTAATATAATTTCTCCCATAAATAATTTTTTTCCTGTTATTGGAAGCACTGCACCTTCCTCCTTCTTCCCTCTTTTTCTTCCTTTCCACCGTCTGATAAAGGACCCAAGAAAAAGCCAACAAATTTGTTTGTATTGCCGCTACCTGTTGTGCGCAAATCCCTAGCATCGTCCTTGTTTGATCGTCCTGTTGGTTTGTACATATATAATTTGAAATTAAACTTTGGGTGAATATATTTCAGGGGATCGGAGTGGTTAAACAGCCCCTGGTGGAAGGTTCAGTTCCAAAGCCTCCTGTGACCGAAAGAAAGGCTAGGCCTCAGAAAGATCAAGCTTTGAACTGCCCGAGGTGCAATTCAACCAACACTAAATTCTGCTACTACAATAACTACAGCCTCTCTCAGCCAAGATACTTCTGCAAGACTTGTAGAAGGTACTGGACCGAGGGTGGGTCCCTCAGAAACGTTCCCGTGGGTGGAGGCTCCCGAAAGAACAAGAGACCTTTAACTTCTTCCTCCTCCTCTTCGTCTCCATCAGCAATATCGTCAAAGAAGCTTCCTGATCTGAACCCAAAGATCCACCAAGGTCAGGATCTTAACTTAGCATGCCCCCCACCAGCACCCGAGGACTACAGCAATAGCATATCGAAATTTATCGAGGTTCCTTTCAGTACTGAAGACAAGAGCACACCTTCTCATCATGATCAGTTATCCGCCATGGAGCTTCTGAAAACTGGAATTCCGTCGTCGAGGACTTTATGTTCTTTGATGCCCATGTCGGCGACGGATTCCTCCGGTTCAGCAATGTATAATTCAAGCGGGTTTCCTAATTTGCAAGATTTTAAGCCTCCTTCCGGGCTTAGTTTCAGTCTGGAAGGGTATGCAAATGGGTTCGGGGGTATTTCTGGAATGCACGAGGGAAGTGGTGGCGATGGTGGTGCGAGGTTGTTGTTTCCTACTGAGGATTTGAAGCAAGTTCCGAGTAGTGCTGATCATTATGAGCAGAATAGAAGCCAGGCGGATTCAACGGGGTTTTGGAATGGCATGTTAGGTGGAGGATCGTGGTGATAAAGTTATTATTATAAAAGCAAAAAAGCAATTGGGAGTTTGGTCTTCTAGCTGTTTCTTCTCCTTCTCCTTCTTTTCCGCTAAAAATTTGGTGAGAGACTGTTTGAATTGATCAGATTCAGAACCACTAACGAATAGGGTATATGACTTCTGTTTATGGTTCTTTAATCCATGAATTTCTGGTGAAGATCTTCTTGATTAATTTTTCTTTCCTTGCTTTCACCCTATTTAATTTTCGCATTTTGAACCACGAGTTTGTGGTCATGTGGTTGCATGCTGAAGCTCGAATTCTTTTCAGGTTAGACCTTGCTTCAGGATATCATAAACTTTGTCCTAAATTGGGAGCTTAATTTCCCCTAATTATAAGTAACACGTGTCAACAACCAAATTGCTCTCGATACTATTATACTACCAGATCTGCCTCACAATTTGCCTCAACAGTTCCACCACCGTTTTACCCTCAGCAAGTCATCGTACGCAAGTAAACCATTGTTTCTTTGTTGTCGGGTACGAAGATACAGTAGTCGGTCACACACACACACATATATATAAGCTGAGATTTTGGTCAAGTCGCGATCTAGAAGTTAATCATTTTAATGGTAATTAAACGAATTCGTAAAAGGGGATATTTCAAGTGTGTGGTTGAATTCGGTCGTGATATTTATGGGTTTAAAAATTAAAACCTCGAACATAAAGTGAGTCCGGAATGATGGGTGTCAAATCCTTTACAGCAAAAAGCGGTTTGCCTAGCTGTCCCTCTTCTCCCACCCCCCCTCCAAAAAAAAAAAAACTCCCCCACCCCTTTCTTTATCATTAATTTTTGCTCGCCAACTGGTCAGAACTCAGAAGTATTGTCAGATCTCAATCACAAACGTCTCGTTCCCGCAGATTCTTTCCGCTCATTAAAGCAGTTTTCACGGATTAGCCACTGTAGGATCTACTAAATAATGGCTATTAATTTAATTAAGCAGACACTACTCCACTTTAAGCCTGGCAACTAGAACCTCGAAAAATTAAAGAGAGCATATTCGAAAGCCAATTACTGGTATTCTTCTCGCCGATTACTTTCCTTTGATGTATTCGTGAGAGTGATTACTAATTAAAATGGAGCGAACAAGATGGCCGTATCAGAAATAGGAAGGCCAATGCGAAGCAGAACTTTTAATTTGAAGAAAGTGGGTTTCCATGTGTTGCGTGACCTGCATGGCGTGTTGCTTTTTCTGTTGTTGGAAGGCTCATTCAACCACATTTTGCTGCATTTGTGTACATTATCATTAATCTTAACTCACTCCATATCCCCCACATGGGGGCTTCCTTCTCCTTTTTTCCCTTTCTTATGTCGAAAGAAAGCTAAAGAAGTTCGGGCTTGACTCTTGCTAGTCTCCTCTTTTTCCACCTATGGGTCCCACAAACATTCCTCTCGGTCCCCGTGCGAGAATAATATCCTCCACTCTGCAAATCCTCCGCCCTCCGTTCATATATAATTATTACACATATGGATTACGCTTTATTCCCTTCTACTATTATTATAATATCCTAGATAGAGTAAACAATAGGGAGCGTCCCTTAATTGGTTGTTTTAATTTACTCGGATCTAACGTGTTAAGCAATAAGCATATATTTAAATCGTGGGTTAGAGCTTCGCATCATGAAGATCTCTTTCTTGCCAAACTCGTCCATATCCACTCCATTCTTGACTATCCATCAGAAAAATGCCCACATATCTTGTGAAATATTCCGAGATCTGATGTGATCACCTTCATCTCTCTCCCTCGCTCGTTTCTGGGGAATAATGCTTTCGGACTAGACTTGTGGTCACCCTTAGAACACCTACTGTTGACCCTCAGTGACAGAGCGACAATGATGAACGAAAGATGATATTTACGCATAAAAAAAGCACTATCGCTGAGTTTATATTTAATTTATTGGTTACGCATCTGCATCAATGCACTATCATTGATTTAGTTATGAAAACCTAGAAGAAAGTGCTTCCTCTATATATATATATATATATCTATTTAATGTTTTGCAAAGCATGGTCTGCATACTGACTCTAAATATTCTGCATCTACCAAGGGAATTTATTCATTATTCCTTATTATGCCAAATCATAGGGATGGAATTTGTGGGTAGGGATTGGAGATGAAGCCCTAGGGCGAGGAGGATGTTTTTGTCTTAACCGTGGTATCTCCAACAATGACTGTAAATTAGGGTTTCTAGTTTCAACGTCAAAGGCAGAGGCTACTTAAGAAAGAAGGACGAGAAGGGCAATTATTAAGATGTAGAGGTGCAGGACCATATACATGGAAGACAAAGGCGATCCATTGAATCGTATTACAAAGATGGACGTCATTGGGATCAGCTTCACACCATCTGTATCGCTATATTTGGCAACAGTTTTAAGTGTAGCTCGACAATCGATGGGCTTTTATGTACACCTTCTGATTTTTCCTCCTCCAACCTCCTTCCCCTGCTAGGTATGATGATATATGTTCCTGTTGCTTTGGAAACGTATTATGCTGTGACAGACACATGTACACTCTAAGTCTTGTGGGGTTTAATCCTTGTGTGAAAGTTAATGGTGTCACTGTCTTGCAAACACGCACACGCACACAAGCGTATATTTAAAATTTCGTTAGCACTTACCCGCACTCTTGAATTTGTTACACTTAGAGCAGGTTATTTTCACATGTCAGAAATTCAGGCAGTTCGTTGTCAAATAATTATTCCCAGGAAGACAGGAAGTAAAATTTGAAACGGAGCTCCAGACTACTAGATTGCTTGATGTATTTGATTAGTGCAAGGGACTAGGAGGCCTTGAGGTGATCACAGATCAAAAACCTTGGCCGTTCTGCCTGTTCATAATCCACTTAGTGCAAAGTAGGCTTGAACTAACGTGCATGTACCGTGTACTTGATTAATTTATACAGGCTAGAGAAGGGGGGGGGGATCAAATAACTGCTTGCATGACATGGCATTCTTTTCATGCTAAAGTTTAAATTTTTAAAACTTGCTTATTAATTTTCATTGCAGTCCTAATAATGTATCAACTATATCCTTTTTATTAATTGTGTTCCAGTTTTAGCCTATTCATGTGTATTTTGACGACTTAACTATTGCAGTAGTTAGGGGTGAGCAAAACGAAATTAAAATTAAAAATTAAACCGAATTAAATTAAATTTTATTTATTTGATTTGGTTTATTCGGATTCGGTTTTTTTAAAAGAAAATTTCATTTGATCAATTCAGTCTAAGAATTTTTGAATCAAATAAACTAAATCAATCGAATTATATATATTTTTATTTTATATTTTTAAAAATATGAATCAATTTCCATTTAGATAAGTAAGAAACATCTTTCTACCTCTTGTAATAGTAGTATTTTTTTGTTTAATGTGATGTTCTAATTTTTGATTTTTATAATTAGTTTTTAGTGTAATAATATTGAGTTTTATTAATTTTTTTATGTATTATAATATAAGATTGCTATTTTTTTTGTTGGGTCTTTGACATTGAGGGGGAAAAATTGGATAAAAAAATATATAAACAATTAGACCTCATAAATCCAAATCAAAGGTCATGAACCAAATGAACTGATCGAATCAAAACATTATAATTTAGTTTGGTTTTAATTCAATTTGATTTGATCCAACCTTTTTATATAATTTGGTTGATTTGTTTTGAAAAAATTAAAATCGAATTGACCAAATGCACACCCCTAGCGGCAGTTACATTTCCCCCCCACCTTTGATTGTATGATTAAATTTTGTGATGTTAGTTGTGTAGTTTCATTTATCACATGTCTTCGTATACGAGTATATGTTATTAAGCTCTCTTCTACTTATTCTGGAGGTTAAAAATTGCTTGATGCCAAATAAAATCTTCTAACTGTAACTGCAGTTTTCCGTTGATATTCGTTCCCAAGAAAATGTTTCCCATCTATATTCACGCCGGTCTTTATAGTTGACGAAGTCATTTGATAGGCCACGCACTCTTCAATTTATTGTCAAATCGTTGCTCGGCTTAATGTACTTTCAAACATTCCTTATGCCATTAGCCGTGTGGATTGAATTTGTTTTTGACTTATAATTCTGACTAAGATTTCATTTCCTTATGAATGTGACTGAATCGTCTTGTCTGTACATGTAATCAATATTCACCGGTTGCATCTTTTTGAATTCATTACTAAAAAAAATTGATATTAATAAGAGACGAACCTGTCATTAAATGATAAAATCTGTCATTAACATTTTATTTAGTGATGGAAATTTTTGTCACTAAATTTGTTAAAAATACAGTGTTACTAATTTGTATGATGAAAATATATCTGTCACTAAAATTAATATATCCGTCACTACTATTTAATTAATTAATTTCATTCATTCTATTATTAAAAAATAATTATATTAGATTTGTCTATTCTATTCCCATCTCCTCTCAATCATCATGGGTGCCTCTCCCATTCACTTAGGATTTGGGAATCAATTTATGTTGGGGCAATGCACGTCCCTCCCTGTTCTAATTGGCACCCTCGCGTTTACTATGCCCATATCCTCCTTGTTTTACCAATTGAGCTAGAAACAAAAGAAACACCTTGTTATATTCCCCCTTATCTATAATTTTTTAGCAACTACCAAGTTATATTCCTTCGCATAAAAAATATAAGAAGCTTTCAACTTTAAGTTGCTCATATATTTTGAATCAAAATTAACTTAAAAATGATTGTATTTTAAACCAAATGGAAAATATTTTAAATAAAAAATTATAAAATATATACTAGGATTTATTTTTTTAAAAAATATTGCACTGAAAAATTTGTCAAAAAAAAGTCAAAACCTGAAAAGGCGCAGAGGAATGGTTCTTTTTTAATTCTTGTGATTATTTTTATCCATTGTGTCTATTTTAAATTCATATAATTACTGCCTTGATTAATTATAAATTAAATATATTCAACATTTTATTGAATTAGTGATTTTTAATGACACAGATTTTATTTTTTAATTTAAAAAATAATAATATATATGTATACCTACATATTAATAATATAACTTTTATATGAAAATGACAACATTAAAAAGTTATCACTATGTATCAAAATATCAAATGATAAAACATTGACAAACATTCATTGATAAAAACTATATTATATTATATTCCCTTTATTTAAAAATATAAAATATTTTTAACCAAATTTCACCTTCAATAAAATAGTTACCTACTATTTAACTAAACTTATATTTGTATATTTACCTATATTAAACACCCTATAATTAAAGCAGCGCTATTTAAAAAAAATCCTTTTATGAATTTAGTTGATTAGCTATCTTCAAAAATTTAAAAAGAATGGATAAAAATTAGAAAAGGAAATGAAATGCTGTTCATCCTGATTCCTAAAACACTCAACTTCCGCGTTTTGGAGATGAGAAGGTCGGGCTCCTTCGCGATCTTCCCAGTCCCATTTTTGGCCCTCTTGATCTCTCCGCCACAACTTCATTTCGTCTGCAGAATGTGGCTCTCTGTGCATCGTATGCGTTTATCAAGAATCAAATATCCTCCACTCAGCCACCGCTTCACCGTTCCGTTAATCGATTGCTGGACGTCTCTTTGGCCGAACGGCAGCGAGGTGAGTCATGCTTGAAATTGATTTTAGTTTTAGACGGGAAATGCTTTAAGTGTTGTCTGGATGCTGCAAGTGATTTGAGATGCAAGGTCTTTGAATCCCCATGTTACGTCCATTTGGGTGCAAAAAAACATTTCTCGAAATGAAGTGACACTACAGTAAATTGTGAGACAAATTTCAGTGAATCAAACTAAACTAACCTTATGAGATTTGATATTTTTGAAACCTTGAAAGCCACTTCTGAGAACTTGAAAGCCAGCATTTTAGATTGGATGAACTGATGGAAAGCAAATTTCAGATTCTATGTGGAAGCGGCATTTTGTGATGGCTTGGTGGAGTTTCCTTTTATTTTTCCATATTGCCAAATAAAATTGGACAGATAACATGCCCAAAAAAAAAAAGGAAAGACAAGGTTCTGACACAGGGCTAGGCTGGGGAATGAGGTGAGAGAACAAAAATAGCCATTGGATTGGTTAGTTTTCCTTTATCTTTTTTTGTTGAGTGCAAGTCATATATATGGATATGGTACTTTGTAACTTTGACATTAGCACCTTTCATTCATACGTATATGCAGATAAGAGGAAATAGGGATCGTGATGATGTTTTCACCGGTTTTGCACAGATTATGCCGTTTATATTTATTGTTGGTCATTTTCCCTTAATTTACATGCAAGTTGAAATCTTGTTACTGTTTGGGGCAAATTAATGTATATATCTTTCCCATGCAGTGTGGTCGTGTTAAAGACGGACATAGTTGCCAAAGTTTATCCAGAACCATTGCTGCTAATCCTCCAGTGGTTGCTGGTGTGGCATGCTTGCTTGTTTTTTTGGTCATCCCTAAACCGAAAAACTAATCTAGGTGAATCTATTGACCAGAAAAATACGTACAAGGGAGTGGTAAATAGTTGTTTTCCAGCAAATTGGAGTAAGGGCAAGGCCAGCTGTAATTTGATGATATTTTATTAGTTATCAGGACACATGAATTTGCTGGCTGGGTCCTCTTCAATCTTCAATACAGTTCCACCTAATGAAAAGCAGTTCATTTGTTTTAAAAATTGAGAGTTGATTTAAAAAAAAAAAAGAGAGAGAGAGGGTGGGGAGAAAGCCACCCTAAACAATAAAGTAAGGGGGCATGCGTTATTGTAATAAAAAAAATTAATTTTTTAATTTTTTAACTTTTAACTTACTTGCAATTCAACCTATCAATCATGACTCACTTATAATTCAATCTTTTAACTTTTAACTCACTTTTAATCCAATCTCTCAACCTTTGTTAGCTTATTTTTTTATATTAGTTTAGATACCACATCAAAGAATAAGAGAATGGTATTTTAGAACAAAATATGAATATTTTTTATTCCTTTTATTTGATAAGAAATTTTAAAAAAATAAAAAATAAGGATCGAGTTATAAGTGAGACAAAAGTTGAATAACTGAATCGTAGTGAGTCATGGTAAAAGGACTGAGTTACAGATAAGTTAAAAGTTGAATGATTGAGAGATTAATTTTTCCTTAAAAATATCTTGTTTCACCAAAAAGCTCACAAGAGAGACTGGAGTCCCAAGTATATAGTTTCCTTTTTTTTTCTGTGAATTATAAATGCCATGTATGTATGTATGTATGTATATGTATATCAAATTAATAATACCTACACTTGTTAATTTTGGCTATCAATCCTTGCAATTTTCAAGAGGCCGGTAAAGTGACCTCAAGTTTGTACTCTTAGATGTTTTTGTTTCTAAGTATAAACTCTGTTGTCAAGGAAATCAATAGAAAAAGAAAAATTGAAGGGTGTTAGGAAAGCTCTGGTGCAGGGTTGGGATGAAAGCAGCAAACAAAGACATTACAAGTTGCTCATGGCATGTCAAGACCAGAGTCCCAGGATAGTAATGGGCTACTAGCCTCCCTTGTGAGGCACCTGAACTTGAATCCTTTATTTGGATTGAACTCAAACAAACATCAGCCACATAATGAAATGTAATAACTGAAAATGTAATGTAATAGGGATTGCAAGAATTTGTTTGATGTGTTATTTAAGAATATGGGAATCAAACTTAATATTTATATTTGATTAAATTGACATAAAAATAAAAAGACGCAAGTACCCTCATAAAAAGATATGATTCCATCCTCTTCTTCAATCCTCACCGATTACCATGGTTAGTCTCCTCCCAACACGAGCCAAGCACCATAAAAAAATCCCTTGCCTTTTTCTCCCATTGCAATAAAACACCTTTCAAGACTAAAAGAGAACAAAATTGAAAAATTGACATATAAAATTAATTTTCAAACTAGATCTTTAATGCATCGACAATGGGATCAACGGAGGCTGTGCACATTGAGGGACGTAGCATCAACTAGATAATAGGGAGGAAGAAGATTATATATGGTATCAAATAAGAGGTCAAAGTTGGTAGCATAATAGTGCTTTGTTTGAACTTTGAAGTGGCTGGTATTAATTTCTGGTGAGAACTTTGAATAAGTTGCCGTAAGCTCAAATTCACAAGGAGAATAGAGAGTGGTAAAGAAAAACAGGGTGGTGTTTAGTGAGGATGTGGTGGGGAAGCAATGAGGAGGAAGATGGGAAAGACAGATTTGGATAGACAACAATAGGTGTGACAAAAGGTGGACGATTTTGATGTTTGGTGATGAAAGTGAGGGCAGACGAAGGAAGGGGTACTATGATAAAAGCTTGATTTTTGATACCAGGAATGAGGATTGCATAGGTCCCTTGATGTAATCCATATTACATTGTTTCAAGTAATTTTAATTTCATGATGTAATCATCTTTACATTACCTTGCACCAACCAAACAACATGAATGGTAGAAATGAATCAAGATTACAAGTAATCCTGATTCATGGAATTGAACCAAACAGCCCATCAATGTTAGCTTCAATTTGACTAGGCAAGTGATGCTCCTGACTCAAGCTGTGGTAGAAGCAAGGCAAGTCTCTGCTTGATCTTCAGTAGTTCAATGTGCTATAATAATATTTATAATTATTAATGCTATGTGTGCAGCTTGTTAAATAAGGATAAGCATGAAAAAATAATATAATATTTTTAACCATGTTAACTATTTTTTGAAGGGTGAAAGTTAATCAATACTAATAATGTTTGTTAATCTTGGACTAAATGAGAATATCATTTGCAGCCCTCTCAATTAACAATTGAAACACGTTGAATATAATTATTTATCAGCGAATAACAAAGCTCTTTCTCACATATAAATAGTAATATACGAGAAACATGCAAAAATTTGATCATCTGTAAAATCTCACACAATCTGCACTGAAGAATGTTTGGTTAATATATATGCGGTCATTAATGGCCAACAAAAAATTGGGTCACTGAATATTTTTCCAAATCTATCTAACATCTCTATAAAAATGGATAAAAAAAGATATCTATGTTCAAAAAGTTAGTTTATCATAGGGAGAATGATAAAGAGATCTCAATAGGATCAATTAATTCAAGTTAAGTTTTAAGTGTTAAAGTCCAAAAATTTGCAACTCAAATTTTCAATTTTGCAATTGTATTATGATAAATTTGCAACTCATTATTCAAATTTTAATATAGTTGAAGAATAATTTTTTTTATTAAAATTTAAATATAAGTTACAAATTCATCGTAACAGGGTTACAAAATTAAAAGATTGAGTTTTAAATTTTTAAAATTTAACATTTGAATTGATTCTTTTAAAACTTTTCTATCATTCTCCCGTTTATCATAATCACAATGTACTATCTCTCCATTGCAATTAATGTGAATACCGTAAAAAAGAAAAAAAAAACTGCATTAATTTATTTTATAAAATGTCTCGCGTTTTGATTTTTTTTTTTTTGGGGTACTTTTAACACTCACGAACAAACATGTTGAAAATGTCTTGTACTTGGTGCTTTTATCTGCAAGAATGAAAAAATCTTGTCCTTTTGGCCAACGATACTTTTAAAATGAGCAGTTTTTTAACTTCATGTTCACAACCGAAGACCCAAACACGCCAGTAAACGCATCATCAATCACTCTCTCTTCCGGTGATTACGTCCGACCGTCCGACTGCAATAATCCTTATGTCTGATGCTTACTGGAGATACAGCGACTCGCGGCAGATGCCGTCGACGATGCCTTCAATCGCCGGAAAGCGCTCGCGTACTGACTATGGTATGTGAATTGTTTGCTCATGGTGGAATTTAGGGTTTGTAGACGCTATACATTATTTTAGTTGAATAATTGCCTTTATATTAGTCGCTGAAATGGCTAAAATTTTTGTTTTTACCAGTTGCAGATAAGCCAGTTTAGAAGTAGAAAACATGGTTTTTCTTTTGCTATTCAGTTCTCGAAGAGTTATGGTTTTCTCCGTAACATATAGTTTGGGCAGGGGAGGGGGATTCTGTGATGTAGTCGCAAACGAGCTACAAGGTTTACGACTGATGAAAATACCGGAGAATGGAGATATTGCCTAATTTCGTCGGATTATGTATATAAGGAGACATATGGGAAAATTGGGAAGGGATAGCTTTGTTTTAGGTCCAATTAGAATTCCGCTTGAGTGCGATCTGATGGTCTAAGAGACCTAATTACTGTTTAAATGATTTAAAGCATTGAGAATTCCCAAGAAAGGGGGAAAAAAAATCCCATTCAATGTCCAGTTGTTCTACCTGGTTCTGCCCAGGTTACTAGTATTTGCTCGGCGGCTCTAGGGGAAAAGAGGCGGTGAATGATTATCATTTCAACGACCAGTAAATAATGGGCTATCAATTATTTGTTGCGTGATATGATGTAGTTTTTATGGATTAGGTGACGTGTGTTTCCTTATCTTCAATTTCCAAATAGACCTCTAGTTCTTTTTTTTGTGATATCTCAATTTAAAGTCTGAACCTTTGCTAACTCAACAACACATAAAAAATACTTCGAATTGATAAATGCACAACTCTAAATATCATAAGTTTTGGTAGTTTATATATATTTTTACTGTTGTAAGCAAGGTAGTCAAAAGTGAAAGACACTAGACCTTAGAATGTGAGAGAAGCATTAGAAGGCTACATTCCCAGATGAACTAAGGCATTAATGACCTAAGCCCAGATATGGTGTCGTTGACCTTTTTTGTTCCTCACAGAAAGATTTCATAGAATTTTAGGATGTTCTAATTCTTTGTTAGATTTTTTTAATCCAGAGATTCATAATTTTCAGCAGATGTTTGAAATTTATATTATCTTACTGTTATTTTTTTATCTTAGTAAACGAACCTTTTCGCATTCCATCACAGTCACTAGTCAAATGATTATTTTCTCTCTTGTTCTAGTCTCTGTCTTATTGTTAATTTAAAATAATGCTCAACTTCGTAGATGTCTCTGGTGTTCATGACTTGGCCAATTACTTTCCTCATGATGATAATAGAGGCAGGCTCCAAGTAATTAGAGATACGGAATCCCTTGAAGCATCATATGAGCGCTACCTTCATAGTGCGGTACTACTTCTCCCTACCAATGACCATTCTTACATGGCTAAGAATATGTCTTGATCTCTTGTGCCCTTGGTTGGCACGTTAGCTTCCTTTTTTTGGCACTAGGCATGTTAACTTTTAGGCATATAGAATGTACTCTCTCCAGTCTTTTTTATAAGTTACTTCTCACTAACTCACCAAAACCAAGGCGAGTTAGTTAGAATAATAAAATTGTCTTAAAAATAAATGACTTTCCAATGTTGCCCCCAAATTTAAAAATGATTTGATTTGAAATGTTGGAAGAGTTTTCTTGGAAATTGAAATATTGCACTTCTTTTTAGAATTTGCTGGAGGGTAGTTTTGGAATTATACATCAAAGGTTGCAAAAAACAAGGGAAAGTTACTGACATGAAGGACCAAGAAAACATTCTAGAACGTGACTAACAAAAAGGACCACAGGGAGCATGTTCTGTTTTGTGTTTATGCATATGGAAGGAACATTCTTAGTTTTTGACTTTCAACTACTGGCATTGGCAATCCCAATTAAAGAATATTTTTCCCCTGATTGCCTAATAGGGAGACGTGGAGAAGTCAGGGGGAAATAATTGAAGGAAATTTTCTCACAGAAATTCTTAAACATTTTTTTGTCCTATTCTATTATTGTGTAATAATCACAAGAATACAGCATTAAACCTTGCTCAAGATCAAAGAGAAATCTGGTGTACCAAAGGCGCCCATAGATTTATGCCTAACATAGTGTACATGTTCCAGCAAGTTTCCTCTTATGGTACTGGGCAGTCTACCAGAACCGTTGGTGGGGTGGTTTCTAATTGTCCTGTTGATGATTCATATGCCCATGGTATTGGAGGAGTGGACCCAACAACAA